AAGCTATGCTCAGTGAAAGCTACCACTTTCACAGAGTAAGCATCAAACCAGTTCCACATCAATATAACAGTGTTACTACAGCGAGTCTCAACAGCACAGACTTTGGTTTAAAAGCCTTGTAAGAGTTGGGAGTTTGGCAGTTGCCTTAGCTTCTATTTTAACATAAAGTCCAGCTGCATTTTACTGTGTTCTCTGCTTCAGGATAGTGATACACAAGATCAAACAGTCACTTATTCCCTTGGCCTAGGTGTCAGTATAGGCTACGATTTCTCCACTTCCATGTTAAAAACACTCACCCTACCCACATTTAAAGTAATCAAAGCCTGACAAATATTTATGCCTGAGGAGCACCAGAATCTGATTTTGTGTTCTCTTACAGCCTGCCACAAAAGGAGAAAAAAAAATGAGGTTTAAGCCAATGTGTTCTACCTCACTCTTGCCATGAGGTGAGAAGCTGCATCCAGTCAATTTTTTAAACATCATGAAAGGGAGAAGCACAATCAGCGCTTAGCTCTGCAAGAAGTCCCAGAAATATCTTCAAGACAAAGTAACTGCAATGAAAATCCTTTGAGATACTTTCCTGGATTGTTTTTATTTATTTATTTAATTTGTTGGTTTTGGTTCGGATCCCCTCCCAGAAGAACACTGTTTGGTTAGACATTACTGAAGCTCTCTGAAACTATGACTTCAGCACAGTGTGGATGCAAAAATATTTGGCCAATAGAAAAGATATTCAGAAAATTTTTGATGGAATGTTTCCTGATATCATATCAACTATAGTTATTGCTTCTGCACAATGCTCTTCTAAGTGTTAAATTGAAAATGTTTCTATGCTAGTTAGTTTGCTATTGTTCAGAGCATTGCTCCCAGAAAACAATGACCTTACCTTCAAAGATACAGTACACAATAAAGTCTCTTAACATTTTTCTATGCCACAGTTACACATAGAACAGGAAGAATGCCAAACCAGGTGATGTCAGATGGATTAGCTGCTTCGTACCAAACAGTTCACATTACTGAAGATAAGGGGAAGCTTAAATTCCGAGTAGAGGCTGAGATTTTGCCCAACAGGAATCCAATTACATGGGACATTCAGGGGGCTGTGAAGTCTAAAATCTGATCTTCACAGTCATTACCTGTGTTTGCAAATACCTGCCACAGATTTTTCACAGTAGACTTTGTCTTTTATTTTCCTGAAACTACATGCTTCAGCATTAGTGTGCCCTCCCAACTAGGCAGATTCAGATGAGGAATTGTACTGCTCTCTGAGGATTGTCTGAAATATCAGAGAGGCTTGTGTGAGGTGAGACAATGAGGTTTCTGTCCTTGCCACTCTCACCCAGGTCACATCTAACCATAGGGAGGCAGTAAACTGTGATGAAAGATGAACAACATTACCTCATGGGCTGAGTCCGCAGAGCTGTCTTCAAGTCTTCAACTATTTTATTTTTCATTTCTGTTTCTTCTTCATCAAAAGCATACAGAGTCTGCATCTGTTCAGAAAAGAAGATGACAATTAGGAAAGCTCAGGCTGCCTGGAAGCTGAGACTGGCCAGGAAATATGAAAAACAACTATCCCATCAACACATGCAGAGGTGCCTGCTGACTTCTCACCAGGAAAGCAGTGCCTCAACTACAAAACCGAATCCAGATGAGGCTGCTGATGTGGACTGGCAGCAGCATACTGCTTTGCCACACTGGCTAAACTAGGGTTCTCAGATTACCCTCAAAAAGTCCTAGTTGCCAGTATGCCCACAGAAAACTGTACCTAATTTGGAACAGCAATCTGCTGTGGTGAACTATGGATGTGCAAGGCAATGTTTGTAGGGAGAGGCAATACCTTTTATTAGACTGACATGGCTGGAGGGATTTGAGGGGGGAAAAAGAAGGGGGAAAAAATCCCTATAAACAAACCAGACTTATGCATTAGGTTTCAAAGCATAAAACCTTTTTCTTCAAGTGGCTAAACAGCCTGCAAGTAACTTGAATTACATTCTGTGTACATACAAGTTTGACTTTTCCTCCCTATGCCAAGCATATCACCTGTTTTAAGATACACTTCCCTGTACACTTTGCCTTTGCTAATTAGGAATATTTAATGCAAAAGCTGGAGCATCATACAATCCCTGTTCCTGTTTTCTAACAATGAAATGGAAGCACATGAAGACTAGATTTCCCCCAGTATGCAGCTTGAGATACCTAGAGCTTTAAGTCAACTGGAATTGAAGTTGCTGTGGGTCACTGTAAATTAGGGTGAGACCATAAGCAGAATACACACAAAAAATATGGTTCTCGAAGTCAGATAAAGCCATTTTAAAGAAGCAGCCTATCAGGAAATCAGGGTTCCAGATCTACACTCAGCACCACTGCAACCTTGTCATGTGAAGCAAGACTCTTCAGCACCCTTTGCATATACCATTCAAGCTCACAAGTCCCATTTGTGACTTTTTAAAAAGTCGAGACTTAATGCTGGAAATTCTTAGCCCTCAACTATGTCTTCTTAGTCACTTTTACTGTAAAATGAGAGGATAAATGACACTCTTTTTGGCAAGACTTCTCGTGGATATCAGTGGTATCTGGAAAGCAGCTCTGAGCCCCTTCTCAAATGAATAACCCAATTAAACTAGTATCATCTATCAGGGATCTGATATTATGCTTCTCTGTGGTGGAATCTGAGTAGCTAGAATTATGGCTCATTACAGCAAAATATTTCAATCTTTATTTTACTGTTCAGCAAGCACCAAAGAAAAACTTTCTTCTCACAGGAACTTCCTTTAACCTTCCCACACCACCACCAGCCCAACACCTCACTTCCCTTGGAAGTGCCCCCACTCAGCTTGCTTTTGCAAGACATGTGATGCCAACACATGTTGGATCCTGAGGGTGGTCATTTGGCTACATGCTGTTGCTGTCTTATGCTGAACAGCTGGCACAGGGAGATGTGTTTAACTCTAGGGGTCCTCTCTCTGATCCACGCTAAAGTCAAATTCACTCAGTAACAGAGCAAGCTATTTCCTGCCCTAATGGAATGACAGACCGCTACTGATGGAAAATGAGCTGATGATGTTTTATCTTTTGCCAGCATCCCCCGACAGCCAGAAACATAAATTGAAATGCTTAAGCCAAGCCATATATGATCCCCCTCTTCGAAAAATAAACAGAAATCCTGAACAGGCATTATGGAATTGCAATGGCACAGTCCTCGGGTGTGATTTGGGGCTTGATTTGTATTTTCTTGGGTGACAGCCCATCTGGTCATCTTTCCTTTGGCCTATAAATGCTCCTTTGAAAAGCTCCCATTCCTCCAATGGCTTAATTTCTCCTCTGAGCCATTGTGGAAGGAAAGCAAATGGATGGTAGGAAGGTGATCAACAGTATTTAGTTCAGAGTGAAAAAGGCCCATTTCCAAATGAAACAAAACAAATAATCCTGCCTTTACAACAGAGGGTGATTATGGAAAACCCCTTTTCTAAAGCTGCAGGCAGCCAAGAGCCCTTCATTTCTCACTCCTGTGTATGGCCAGGAACTCAAATCCTTATGCCCTCTCTAAAGACAGATTGATCACGCATATGCATTGTGAAATAGCTTTCTCTGCAAGAGTTATAGAAAACATAACTGTCCCTGGGAGACAGAGAGGAGGGAACTGTCATTATTTCAGGCTGGATTCCATTAATGTGGCTGACTGATTAATTGCGTTCCTGAAGTACAAACTGCACTCGAGGACTAATGTCTGCTAGACTCAGGATGCAGTCAGTTACTATCAGTTAACCAAACATACTAGGAAGGGGAAGCAAAATAGTGCCAGGTCCTTATCTGGTCCCTAAAAAGTGGCATACATATGACTCTTTTTTACAAGTACATTTCGCATATTTAAAGTTTTCCAGATTAAGTGTATCACCTGGGACATAGCATGCAGTTACTTGATTTATCAATTAAAAAAAAAAAAAAATCAAGAATTTGTGAAAACAATCATTCACATGTAACTTTATGTGCAAAACTTCAGGTAATGCAAGAAATTAATTTTAAATTTTGGCTCCTTTTAAAATGAAATATTTTAGCTTTTTTAAAAGCACGGATTAATTCTCACATCTTATCCTAATGGCTAATCATTCCCTGAAACTGCTGGGAAGGAAGATACAAGGACCATAATGACAATACATAGGAGAAAGAGAGAGGGGAAAAAAGGAAAAAAAGGCATTAACTAGCATCAGCAATACACTGCATGACAGACCTAATTTTACTTTATAGCCTCATACATGTGAAATGAAAAGGTAAGAAACAATTAGAATAAGTAGTGAAAAAGTAAGATGGCTGTTCTGATTTCTCATTACAGTCACTTGAAATTCAAGGTGTACCACATCTTTAACTACACTCAGGCTGAAGTAAGAGAATAAGTATAAATCATAAACTATGAATAGATGTAATTTAATAAAACCCCATAACTCTTAAGCAAGTAAGTTTGAAGTAACATAGATATCATCTAACTCGGAGGGGAGAGTTATCATCCACCTGCTAAATTCTGCTGAAAGATATATATTTTTAACCTCCTGTGAAGCTGCTCTGCCTTGAACAAATGCTTTCTGCGTCAAGGAAAAAGGCCTGGTTACAGCTGTATTTATTAATCTTGACCCCTGTCTCGCACTCTCAACTGAGCCATCTCTCCAGAAAAGCTGGATCTTCAACTACTGTTCACCTGAAACTCTCTCTGTGGAAATGCATACACAGGCAAGCTCATAAAAGCAACACAGTACTGTCAGGCTCCTCCCCACTAAACTGAGAGCTGTGTTTATTTATGCTGCCAAGCAGACAGTATCATGGAGTGAGGAGGGCAGGAGGAACACAAGGAGAGTTCTTTACACGTGGTATTAACAGGGCAGCTGCTTTATTTTTAAGAAAAAATCTTTTGTGTGTTGATAAATCAGCAGAAGACGACAATGACCTTGATAATGGAAACCACCTTTTATTGTGGGCACACAACCTGTCCTCATCACCAACAGCATTTATAGCATGCAGACATCAGAGGACTAGACAAATTAAACATCATTAGCAACTGTCCTTTTCTCTTAAGGACTGGTCTAGAAAACAGTTTACCAATGTTCTACTTGGCCCTTTCCTTTCAGTCATGCTACCTGAAGGATGGGGACAGTCCCTCCACAGGAATGGCACACTACAGACTAGTAAAGA